TTGTGGGTTTTGAATTGTGCTGTCAATGTAGCCTTGATGAATTTCAGCAATGCATCTTGTAGATGGTACACATTGATAGGACTGTTCATTGGTGGTGAAGGAAATGAATGCGAAGGTGGTGCCATGCAAGTGAGGTGCTTTTTCTGGATGGTGCCAAGATTCTGAAGTGTTGAAGCTGCACTCATCCAGGAAAGAAGAGAGTATTACACCACACTCCTGACTTTTAGATGGTGGATAGGCTTTGAGGAAACAGAAGGTGAGTTACTTACTGAAGAATTCCTCACCGCTAAATTGTTTTTGGAGCCGTGGTATTTATATGGCAGCTCCAGTTCAGTTTTTGGTCAATTGTAACCCCTGGAATGTAATGGGGAATTCAGTGATAAAAATGTAATTGATTATCAAAGGGCAAAGTTTGATTGTAATTATTGGAGATGGACATTACTTGCGTGGCACAAATGTAACTTTCACTTATCAATCCAAGACTGGATATTCTCCTTGCAAATGTATATGGACTATTTCAGTATCTGAGGACCATGAATCATAGTGAACATTGTGCAATCATCAGCAAACATCCCCAGTTCTGACCGTTTGATGTAGGGAAGGTGATTCTTGAAGCAGCTGTAGATGGTTGGGCCTAGGACACAAATTGAGGATCTCCTGTGCTGATGTTCTTGAACTGAGATGATTGATCTCCAAAAATCAGTCATTTTTTTTGTGCAAGGTATGACTCCACCCAGCAGAGAATTTTCCCCCAATCCCCATTCTCTCTAGTTTTGCTAGGGCTTTTTGACATTATATTCAGTCAAATGCTGCCTTGATGTCAAAGATAGTCACCCTCACCTCTAGCGATCGTTTTTTTTGGCCATGTAACAAGGTTAGGACCCTGTCGGAACTAATGAGCATCAGTGAGCAGATTATTCCTTTGCAAAATAGCACTAATATGACCCTTCCATCAGTTGTGCTAAAAAGAGCCTGGATAGTTGCAAATTTTTGATATTCATTGGCTTCCTAGATATGCAATGTACTATCACAATGTTTAAAACCATTCTAGAAGAAATTTAGTAAGTCACCATTAAAATGGTTGACAGAAACAGGACCTCACAATTGTCCATAATTGAAAGATACGAAACCCTCATCCTCTTAAGGCATATTCAAAAGATCTGCACTGTAAGATAAAGATTTATCACAACAAACTGACAGAGCATGTTAGATGGTTTTATAGCACTGTAAAAATATATCTGGATGAAAAACAATAAAACTATCTATTACTTTTCAAATCCAGCAATCAACATTGTAGACAGATCTTTCCTCTCTTCCATTAAGAGTTTAGGTATTCAGGATAGGAGAAGGAAAATTATATAGTCATGCTGAGTTCTGAAATGTTTCTGGATAATAGAAAAAAAAATGAGTTGGTTGCATAGTTTTTTCCCCATCCATGCAGTCTCACCTTCTCATGTTCTACAATGTTGATTTATGACAGCATTTTTGGTGTTTCTTCTATTAGATAATGATACCAAGGGGTAAAGCGCTATGGTGGGTAATTGGAGTTAAATTATAGATCAGCTATGATCTAATTGGATAGGGGAGCAGTATTAAAGAGCTGACTCCTGACGAAGGGCATAAACCCGAAACATTGACTTTCCTGTTCCTCTGATGCTGCCTGACCTGCTGTATTCCTCCAGCTCCACACAGTATTGATTTGACCATTCATGTTCCTATGTCATAATTGTGTTTCAGTCTGTAAAATAATTTTACTGGAACACTTTCCTACTAGAAATTCCAATTCACAATGTTCACTTAGTATTTAGAAACAGACTGCAGCTACTGGTTTAAAAAAAGTCAAATATTCAAATTCTGTACAAGAACTTTCTTGCTAACTCCAGCCACCCTGTGGTCAGTGCTAGACAAATTAGTATCTTTATTTATAGTTACAGTTCTAGTCACAGAAAGACCTGCTGGCACCACTGATGGAACAAAACGTGATAGTTGGAGGGGCACTAACCATCTAACAAAAAAAAGAACACGGAAAAGGGGATACATCAGAGAACAGAGAAAAAAAATGGAAAAAATAAAGAAGGTCTTCAAGCCAGAAACTGTAATGTTAATGAAGTCACTACATTATAATATCTCACTCCAGAGTATCAATTGGTTAAACAAACCAGGGTAGGACTTATACAATTAAATATAGGGTCTTGAGTAGTATTGTAGAACAGACAGACCTAAGGGTTCAGACACATAACTCTTTGAAATTTGCATCATAGGTAGACATGGTGGTTAAAGGTATTTAGCATGTTTGCCTTCATTGCTCAGAGCTTATAAGTATAAGAGTTGGGATGTTATGTTGCGGTTGCACAGGATGTTGGTGAGGCCTGTTCTGGAGTACAGTGTCCAGTTCTGGCTGCCCTGTTATAGGAAGGATATTATTAAGCTGGACAGGTTTCAGAAGAGATTTACCAGGATGTTGCCGGGAATGGAGGGTTTGAGTTATAAGGAAAGGCTGGATAGGCTGGTAGTTTTTCCACTGGAGCATCAGAGGTTGAGGGGTGACCTTATCGAGGTTTATAAAATCATGAGGGGTGTAGATAAGGTGAATGACAAGTGTCTTTTCCCTAAGGTGTGGGATTTCAAAACTAGGGGGCGTAAAATACATGAGCGGCCATTTTTGAGACAGTGTGGTTTGAATGTGGGATGAACTTCCAGAGGAAGTGGTGGATAGGGGTACAGTTACAACATTTAAAAGATATTTGGATGAGAACATGAATAAGAAATGTTTGGAGAAATATGGACCAAGCATAGGCAGGTGGGACTAGTTTAGTTTGGGATTACGGTCGGCATGGACTGGTTGGACCAAAGGGTCTCCTTCCGTGCTGTATGGCTCTATGACTCTATGAGTACAAAGTTCAATGCTTTTACAGACTACCAGAAAGAAAACAGACATTTCAATGAGATGTGGTCACAGCATGAATGCTTTAAAGTCCTTTTCATATCAAACTGGTCAATAGAATATTAAGCTGCATACTCAACATTAGACACCAGCGTAGTAGAACCACGTTAGCTGATGATGTCTGGTAACAAGGTTTAGCAGTGAATGCGCCATCTAGACTGCATGTTAAAACCAGTAAACACAAAGATAAAATATTGATGCTATCTCCATTATGTGCAAAAATACTTCTAGAAATGCCAACTCAATTTTTAAAAAGTCACATCTTGCTATTCTAATTGGTATCATGAAACACATAAAAAGACATTTAACAGACTTTTCATAAACAATAAGAGGAGGCTTTTTTTTGCATTTTCTCATTACGCGTATTTTCTCTCCAAAGAAAATCTGGGTGTTTAAACACTGGAACTTTCAGATTGGTACCAAATGACCTCAAGTGCATTTTGAACATTTATTGCAGTAGTAACATTGGAAATATTAAAGTCCAAAAAAGTTCAAGTGGACTGAGCCATGACTAACCATCAGCCCCCAACTAGCAGACAGTAAACAAGCAATAACATTATCCAGAGCTCACAGTTGAATCTCCTGCAGTGAAATACTCAATGACCCTGTAAGAACAATATTGTGTGCTTTTAACTGTGCATGCATGTATTTTACATATTCCTGCAACAAGAGGACATTCTCATTTCCACAAGGGAAATCTAACACCATATCTACACACTGTTACACACTGCCCAATTGTTAAAGAATGAACATCCTTAGTAATTCACTTTTCCAATCTGCCAAATGGAAATAAATTCCAATGTCACTTACATTTGGGAAACCTATTTGGATGAGTGAGCAGGTGTTCCCAGCTTTTCCAGACTCATAATTAGGAAACTGTCTCTCAAAACAACTTTTTCTTATTAAAATATTCCAACCACCGACATTGGCCTCCGAGATTTTAATTCTTCATATGAACCAATGTCTTGGCTGGGGAATGTGTTCACCTCCCACTCTCTCAGCATAAGTATTATTTATCCAGAAGTCTGAACAATGAGCAGTGCACCATCCTTAATAGAAACCACTTGAGATGGCCCAATATTATATCATTACACAGATAAATGCTGACCAAAACCCAGCAAATATTAAAATGTTGGCGTTGTGGGTCATCACCACAGAAAATATTGAACCATTTTAACTTATCAGAGGCAGACTTTCAGAAACAGGCAACTGATTAAAATAAAGAGAAACTATAGTCTTGAATGTCTCTTGAACAACTAGCGTGTCAAGTATGCGTACAACCTGTGAGTAGGTAGCTTAGGGGAAAATATGACCATTTTAGTTAGTTTATATCAACCGGGAAGTAATATTCTGATAATTTAAAATAGGTGCTTTCCTGTAGGAACTGTGTTTTATTTAAAATGGTTCCTGTCTTGTTCTTTTAACTCATCTGAATTCAATCAGGCATTCAGTCTGAACATCTACAGGGAGATTAAAAGAAAAGCCTAAGTTTTGTGACTTTGCGGAACTTCCCTCTCTCTGAAGAGGCCACAGGAATGGTGGACGAATTGATAAACGATCTCGACATCTCCCACCCCCCAAATCCAGGAAAAGTGATAACCGGTGTGATTGACAGGCGGTTAAGAATTACTCAGCATTCACAATGGGCGGGCAGAAAAAGTTAAGCTGTTCAGGCATCGACTGTAGGACTCCCGTGTGTTTTGGGAAAAATCAACAGCAGTTTAAAGTTAGTCTGATTGCAGACCTGCGCTGACATTACTGAAATATTTGCCCAAATAAAGTCAGCGCTATGATTTAATAGGTGTACGTACAGATACTCATTACCTACGGCCAGGCCCATTCTAAATGGATTGGGATTGCTATAATGTGTAAAACTGTCACACGGTTTACTTTGTGTTCAACATTCTGAACCAGTTCTGCTGCCTATGTGAGCACTTCACTAGGATCAGAGCTGGTTTAAGGTCTACTTCCTATATTTTCACAACAAGGTCACGAAGAGACTTTAAAATTCAGTTGCTGGGAGTTGCGAGGGGCGAGTTAAAACATCAAATCTTACCACAGGAGACGAAATTCGACACCCAGGGCAGTCACAGATTGGAGGGTGGACCTGCAACACTCCTTTTGACATAAGCGTTTTCAGACTTTTTCCTGTATTAAAAAGAAAATCAATTATGAAATAAAAATCAAAAATCACCTTCAGATCGCGCTGTTGCGCAGCGTAAACTTTGTGTGTGTGTGAGAGAGAGAAGGTATGACATTTTTCTGTTCACCTCTCTCAAATACACGGTGCTCCTTAAATGGATGTTTAATTAATTACCAGCAATTCCCCAAAACCGCAGCCATACGATAGGACACCTTAAAAGTACCGGGAAATGCACTTCCCTTCCGCTGCTTTCATCTTTCCTCCGGCACACGAGCAGATAATTGCGAGTTTATATTAAAACGACGTGACTCTGAGGAAGTGCGGCAGCTTTCCTTTTTGTAACAATGGCGCTGGCATGAATGTTGTTTGGAGAGAGCGCAGTCTCACACACTCTCTCTCTCAAACACACACACACACACACACAGACACAGTTAAAGAACCAAAAAAAAGAACAGCCCCCAGCCAGACACTGAAAACTGCCAGAAGCGGATACTCCCGGAGCCAGGCACGGCCAGAGCGACTACAGCCCCCAGACTGTTCCAGCCAGACACAGCAACAGACACTGAAAACTGCCAGAAGCGGATACTCCCGGAGCCAGAGGCTGCTGGAGAAAGACTGACAGGATCACAGTCAGACCCTGTCAGAGAGTCACAGACTAACAGCATCACTGTCAGAGAGTCACAGACTAACAGCATCACAGTCAGACCCTGTCAGAGAGTCACAGACTAACAGCATCACAGTCAGACACTGTCAGAGTCACAGACTAACAGCATCACTGACACACACTGTCAGAGAGTCACAGACTAACAGCATCACAGTCAGACACTGTCAGAGAGTCACAGGCTAACAGCATCACAGTCAGACCCTGTCAGAGAGTCACAGGCTAACAGCATCACAGTCAGACACTGTCAGAGAGTCACAGACTAACAGCAGCACAGTCAGACACTGTCAGAGAGTCACAGGCTAACAGCATCACAGTCAGACACTGTCAGAGAGTCACAGGCTAACAGCATCACAGTCAGACACTGTCACAGACTAACAGCATCACAGTCAGACACTGTCAGAGAGTCACAGACTAACAGCAGCACAGTCAGACACTGTCAGAGAATCACAGGCTAACAGCATCACAGTCAGACACTGTCAGAGAGTCACAGG